GTCGAACCATCAACTGGGAATAGCTTTCCTCGTTATCCTCAATACATCAATCCGGGTGGTGATCTGCTGGCTGTAAGGATTTAGTGATTCCGGTGCGAGCAAGCGCACGATCCTTTGGAATAGGCGGGTATTCTAGAGTATGAGCAAACGCAGGGAGTCCTTGCGGACGAAGCGTTTCCTGGGCGCGTTAGAGAGCACCAAGTCCTTGCGGACGAAGCGGTTCCTGGGCGCGTTAGAGTGCACCAAGTCCTTGCGGACGAAGCGTTTCCTGGGCGCGTTAGAGTGCACCAAGTCCTTGCGGACGAAGCGGTTCCTGGGCGCGTTAGAGTGCACCAAGTCCTTGCGGACGAAGCGGTTCCTGGGTGCTTTAGCGGGCACCAAGTCCTTGCGGACGAAGCGGTTCCTGGGTGCTTTAGCAGGCACCAAGTCCTTGCGGACGAAGCGGTTCCTGGGTGCCTTAGCGGGCACCAAGTCCTTGCGGACGAAGCGGTTTTCAAAACTCCGAGCCTCCCTCGTCTCGGATAATGCCAATGGACTCGAGAAAGAGTTCTCACTCGCGATATCGATCAAACAGACAAAAGAACGTTAACCAAACTACGGACCGTGAAGCGGCGTGTAACGAAGCACTCGAACAACGGAAGAGAGCGGCTTCGTCCGAGCCTCGACCTCTAGTCGCAAAGCGCGGACCATGGAGAGGGCCCGTCTCAGATTGCGTGTTTGATTGGTGGAGAGAGCGGTAATCTAGTGGTTTCGTGCGAATCGAGTTGGTACCGAGCGCGCCCTTGCCTGATTGGCTGGATCAAGCCCTTGCCTGATTGGCTGGAAGTGCGGGCCGTAGAAGCGGTCCACACGAGTCGAGTAGGTATAGAGCGCGGACCATGAAAAGAGCCTAGAAGGATGAGTTATGCACGGACCAATAGGAGAGCCCGTATGCATTGGGTAGTTGCGGAACGCGGACCACGAAGAAGAAGGATCATCCTTTCGCAAATCCCAGATTGCATGGGTTTTAATCGCTTCTCCAAACAGTAATAAATAATATTAAATTGTTACTTATATATTTTTTTTATTATTTTATTATAACTGTATATATGATCTAACCTGGATTACTTGCATCGTGTCTATCCCTTACAAAAAGTACATTATAAATATGGTTTTTCTTAAATAATTATTATTCGGTAAATAATGTTACTATTTGTATTTTTAATTCCTTGAAAAGTGAAATCATAAGAAAACATGATAATTAATGCGGAATTTTAACGGTTTTCTTTTAAAATATTATTTTATATTCACTTTAACATTATTTTAGTATTTTTCACTAAATACTAAAATTATAATTATAAAAGTTAATTAATATTTTTAAGGAAAGACAACAAGATACCGCATTAATTATTATGATTTCATGTAAAATTTAATTTCAAGAAATTAAAAAATGTTACTAAATAGTTATACCGTCACTTATCATATAATGTTAAATTTATACACTCGGAAAAACCCTATAATTGTAGTGTATTTTTCGTAAGGGTGGCCATATGTCCGCTAGGTCAGATCAGGGGGTCGATAATGAATTATTTTACAAACGTGAAAAGTGACAAATTTCTCCATTGCCTTCTTGTATGTCCTTCGCTAGAAAAAGTAGGCAAAGGAGAAATTTTTCACTCTTTACGTTTGAAAAAATTCATGATCGACTTCCAGACTACTCATGTCTGATTGGATCCCAGCAAATACAGATTATTCTTGTCATATCTGACCTCGTCCGCCAGGATCAGATTAGATCTACTCACGTCTGAGTGGATCTGATCAGATATAGATTATTCTTATCCTATCTGACCTCGTCCGCTAGGACCGGATCAGATCTACTCATGTCTGATTAAATCTGATCAGATAGGGCCAATATTTTGATCAAATCAGATATAAACGAATTCGATCTAATTTGATCTGATCAGGTCTGTTCAGATCTTTTTCATTTTTTCCCGGGCAGGTGTCCCTCTAGTCTTCCTATCATACTTTTCAGCTCCTCCTTTTCCTCCGCCAGTATCACTATATCATCCGCATATGCTAGTGTGTATAACTTTTCCTGTCCTAGTTTAATCCCCCCCCATTTTACCTTTCTCATTTCTACTTCCAGGTCCGCTATCACTAAATTAAATAGCATCGGGCTTAACGGGCATCCCTGTCTTACACCTCTTGCAGTCCAAAAGCTTGCTCCTACCTCTCCTCCTATCCTTACCCTACTCTTTGTTTCCCTTAACACTTCTTTTATTCTTGTTATCAATCCTTCTCTTATTCCTCCATCTATCATTGCCTTAAATAATCCCCCTGTCCACTGTGTCGAATGCCGCCTTCATGTCCACGAACATCGCCACCATCTTCTTTCCCCTTCCTATCTGCCTATTTATCAGGTAGTTTATTACATAAATGTTATCTAATGTACACATCCCTTCCCTAAAACCCGTTTGATTCTGTGGTATCACCTTCTTCCTCTTGCAGTCCTCCTTTAGTCTTGCTGCCAATACCATCATATAAATCTTATACTATAACGCCGTCATAATCATCACTCCTCTATATTCCTCTACTTTCGCACCCGCCCCTTTTTTCACATTGGTACTATTAATCCCTCCTTCCATTCCTCCGGCCACCCTTCCCCCTTCCATACCTTGTTGCAGAACCTCCATACCCACTCTGTCAACTTTTCTCCTCCATACTTCCATACTTCCCCTGGAATTCCATCAATCCCCACTGCCTTCCCATTCTTTATCTCTCTTATCATTTTTCAAATTTCCTCTTTACTTATTTCCTCCTCTTTATCCTCTCTATTCCCTCCTTCCCCTCCTATTACCTTAGTTTCGACACCCCCCCCCCCCCCAAGTAACCTCATAAAATGTTCTCTTCATTCCCCTTCCTCAAGATTGCGCTTAAGCAGGCGCTCACCACGTCGCAAGGCTTCTATTTCCGATTCAAAGGCTGCGGATTGAGCCAAACGAAATACCACTATGCGAGCCTCCGAGAGTTCCTCCGTGGAGAGGAACGGAGGCAGGGGATCTACACCTCTCCGTTTACGTCGCACTAAAACTAGCGGACGTCTACAGAACGCTATCACTCTCACCAACCTGGTGAACGAGGAAAATCGGCCTAAAATCTCAGGCTCCAGCACCTGTGCATGAACATGCAAAACACTCGCGGTCTCCGACGGCAGAGGCCAGCGATCCGACGACCGAGTCAGCCACGACGGTCCATGCCACCAGAGCGCACTGGACGCCAAGGCGGATGGCAGAGAGCCCCGAGTCGCCAGGTCAACCGGGTTCTCCTTCGTGGAAACATGCGCCCAGGACGCCGACGGTAACTCAGTCTGAATATAAGAGACCCTATTCGCCGTGAACGTCTTCCAACAAGATGGATGCTTGCGCAACCACGCCAGAACTATTTGGCTGTCAGACCACGCGTAGACAGGCACGTCCGCGAGAAACTTCGCGGTTCGTAAATGACTGATGAGCTTGACAAGAAGCGAAGCTCCACACAACTCTAATTTCGGTATGCTAATGGTCTTAACAGGCGCCACTTTCGTCTTCGCTGCCAACAGGCAAACACGCGGTTCACTTCCACTATCCAACCTAAGATACACTACTGCTGCATACGCCCTCGAAGAGGCGTCAGCGAATCCGTGAATCTGACACGAAACCTCTGGAGAATGTCCTAGCCAACGGCTAATCGAAATCAAAGGCAAATCCGCCAGTGAGTCACAATACTCTTGCCAACGTAATCGAATTTCAACGGGCAATACTGTGTCCCATTCGCATTTCAGGATCCACAGGTCCTGCATCAGGATCTTGGCCACAACCGTGACCGGAGCTAACCAGCCCAATGGGTCAAACAATCGAGAAATATCCGAAAGGATCACTCTCTTCGTTAACGTTTCCGATGCGGATCGAGACGCCAAGCTATCAAATCTAAACGCATCTTGGATAGAGTCCCAATAGATGCCGAGTGTCTTAACCGACTCATCGTCGTTGATTCGCGTAGAAGAAACCGACTGAGGCTGAATAGGCAAGAGACTCGGGTGGTTCGCCGCCCACTTATCGAGCGAGAAACCAGCCAGCCCCAGAAGTTCCACAAGCTCAGAACGCTTCCTCATTGCGAACGATAGGTCATCCGCACCCGCGAATACGTCGTCTACATAGGTCTAATGCTCTAAGCACCGTGCCTAGTGTTGTAAAATTTCCTAAAAAATTGCCGCTGGGAAAAAAACCGCAATTTTTCCGGTTTTTTCGGAAAAAACCGTCATTTTGGGAAAAATACTATTTTCCTTATAAGATACTTCCACAGCTTAGATTTCTCTGTCTAGAATTTTTAGGACATTCTATTTTTTATTACATGTACTTTGTACATATACATATATATTTAACTTTTTGACGTACCTGTCAAGGCAAGGTTATTATTAATGATTCTTATGATCGAACGGTTTCAAATGAACGCACTCTGCAATTTAATACGGCTGCTATGAGCGGGAAGCATACATTCTTACATAAAGGTATAATGCACAAACATAGGGAAATAAATCAATCAGAGTTCTTTATTTCCATCGTGGCAAGAAATGTGAACTCTGATTGGTTCATTTCCTTGTGCATTGTGTATTATGCCTTTATGTAAAGTTTTTTATGGTTGATGGTCATTGGTCGAGACGGTCTTGTACTATGCCGGTAGCTATTGCTGCGTTCCGAAATTTACTGCCAGTACTGGAAATCTATAGTTTACGTGACGTATATTATAGGTTTTCAACAGTGGCAGTAAATTTCGGAACACACCCGCCGTCCGCCGTGTCGTGAGTGAGTGTGACGACTCTAATTCTTGTCAACGGATTACATACAAGCGTTGGCCAACCTGTCAAGATGACACGAAGAGCGCATCGCTAATCGCTATCGACTGTTGGAAAATAAGGGTACGATGTACGACGACAGTCTTTGAATGAAAGTAAGTAAGCAAATGCTCGGTGATCATGAGAGTTCTACGTTCTACATTCTACATTCTACATCCTAAGGGTGATGGTAGAGAACGAGGTATAAGTCTGTCGTAGTCGTGGACGTAGGTTAGATTAAGGCAGAGAGAGAGAGAGAGAGAGAGAGAGAGAGAGAAAAGAGAAAAGAGAAGAGAGACATGTATACTAGATCTCGTTCTCTGCCATCACCCTAAGAATGTATTTAGACTTGTTACATATATAT